CGTTACTTTAATAAGACTTCAGTATAACGAGATGATCTACAAAAATTAGCCAATCACAATATATGTTCGCTATGCTGGTGTAGGTGAGTTAGTAGAAATACACCAAATAAACAACTTAATCAAATTTTTTAACAAGTTTTTTAAAAAAATTATTATTAAATTTGATTAAGTTATTGTGTTGAGCTATTTTTGTTCAAGGTTTTAACAATTTACTTAGAAAAAATTTGTTGCGTTTCTACTAACACACCCTCATATTTGTACTGTAATATTGTATCCCAAACATTTTATTACAGTAATATGCTAGGGCAGGTTTAAGTTTCATCACTTGTGATACAGTAAATTATTCAAATGTAAGATTTTCTTTTTAATTATTAATATATGCGATTGAATTTATGTCAGTTAATAGATTGCATTCTTTCACTTCGGTATTCACCCGTTTCACCGACAGTCATTTCTTCCTAACCAATGCTACTTCTAAATCTACTCCAAATTGGGTTAACCTTAAATGTCGAAAAATGAGATCCAACTAGTTTAAATTGTTATGACTCAAAAAAAATTCTTACATATTTTTTTAAAAAAAGAGCCCAATAAGTCGTAATAAATTTGATTTTCTAATTATATTTTAAAGTTATAGTATTGCCTCTCGCTGTAGTATTAAGAATTCCCTTATGTATCGTAAAATTAAGTGGTAAATTTTTAATTATATTGCAAAGTAAAATATTATGTACCGCTGTAAAGTAAAGGTTTATTAAGGATATTTACTGACAAGAACTGGGTTTGAAGAGAGATTCTTGTAAAGTTTAAAAAATATTGACTCCATAGTAAACAATCTTGAGATTTTACAAGAATTTGTATTAAGTACAGTAAAACTCCATAAGTGCACCCTCTATTAAGTGTACGCCTTCTCTAAACGCATACTCAAATTCTGGCCCAAATATATATATGACCTCGATAAATGCGCTTAAATGCATTTTTCTTATTGTTCTCTAAGTGCGCGTTATTAAAGTTTCTTTCCAAGAGCTGCACTTATAGAGTATTAAATGGACCAAAAAACCATCTCTCAGGCATTACTGCTATTACTTATGAATCTCATAATTTTTTTGAATGTAGGAATCGCCTGAATCATTAAGATCAGATGATGATTTGCCAATTAAGTGTTATCGTTATCAAAATTTCATCAGTTGTACAAATTTTTATATCATTTCGAAATGATGCATGCGTTAAAAAGTTGAGAGAAAGGATCCAATGATTGAACATTTATAGTATTGTAAGATGTTTGCATGATTAATTTTAAATTCACTGACATTTCAAAAATTTCAATACTTAAAAATTTTGTTTTTTGATTTGAATTTTGTTATTTTCGAAGAAAATAGTGATTTGTAATACTGTATTATATAGCATGATGGTTTTTTTGAAAACCTTTTAACTCGTATATGTTGTATAAATTACATGTATTGAACATGCATCGTAAAAGAACAAAGATGGTATAATATCAGGTATATAGAGCATACATACCGAAAATGTGTACAAGGTTGCGCTCCGGATGGCTACTCCGGAATTCAAAATTTCTAAATTATCGGTTTGTAATTTGAAAATATTGTAAATTCTTTTGACGAATATGTTAATATAGAAACTTTTATTTATTTAATAGATTTGTATATTTTATTTAATGAAAAAAAAAAAATTTTAAAAAACCAAAAACTTAATAATTTTATTCAATAAAATTTTTATATATGACAGACTCTGTACAGTGTGACGAACCTCTCTATAATGAGCTTGGTTTTTTCAGTTCGTTATATAAAGAGTAGACTATAATTTATTTGTAATAATAAAAGTAACGTTATCTATCCTTCCAAATTGGGGTTTTTGCTGTGTTACGTAGGTCTTGCAATGTAATTCCCATGTTTTAAATAAATAAACACTTCTATCGAAAGTCATCACGTAGAAAAAATGCCATCAGACAAGACGCTGAAAACAATCGTTGAGATGGCTGCTGTTGGACTAGGACCCGGATGTAGTCCAATAGCTGTCCTTTGTCTTCGTCAGCTAAGCCAGATACATTTTTATGATGCTTTATCTCTAGTACAGTGTAAATGTACTTCAAGATAAAAGTGCCTCCCTCCATATCTTTGGCATTGAACTTGCCTAGATGAGAAGTATGATAGTTCAAGATATAATTAATTTTTTGTGAAGAATTTTTTATGTCAATTTCATCTCTTTTCTCAGCACCAAGCCCATTTAAACTAAATTGATCTTACGTGGTAGCAACAGAATTGTAGTAAATAATCTATGATTAATAGTTCAATTCTTAGAGCATTCATTTTAGAAAATTGTAAGGTTTATGCTTGCAGCCTAGCTGATGAAGCCACACCACCATTAGTTTTTCATTTTTTGAAGCCGAAGGAGAGGCAACGACTTCTTGTTCCTTTTTTGCACGTTGGCTACATCTTTGAGAGGAGTAAACAGTCTTTCCATTTTTGGTCTATACAACAAAAAAAAAAAAAAGAAATAATTAAAAATTAGGTTACGTTCTGCCTAAAATATATTTATATATATTTCAACTAACCTTTTTTGGTGTCAAAAAATTCTCTCCCTTCTTTTCGGCTCAGAATCCGGTTCTAAATTTTTCTTTAGTTCTTCTAGCGATCTGTAGAAGGACCGAAGATTTGATCGCTAGAATAATTATTGCTAAATACAACAGTGGAATAGTACTTTTAATCAAAATTTTCTTTATAGTACGTATAATTTACTATTATTTCAGTAATCCCGACAAAACGAATATATACAGTAGTAAAGCAGTATAGCCTGTTAGATAAGTATAGTAAATTTCGGTATACCTTATATATAGTAAATATACCGAAAGTATAACTTTTGTAGTTTAAATTATATGGTATGTGTATTTTTATGACATTATTTACATAATGTATAGTTTTATACATTAGCTATCGAATTTTGTGGATTTCGACTCCATCCATCTAGGGATGGGTTCGATCGACTATTTTTAGCTTAGCAGTTTTGTAGTCGGAAGGTATCTCATGACCCAATTTGGATCACTGGATCATGCCGAGTCGACCGAACCCATCCCTATCGCTATTAAGTGGATTTAAAATTAAAATTACCATATACTTCCGAAATTAAGCACCCCTCGGAGCAATTTTTATAGTCAAAATTCTCGTGATCTAATAATCGAATCTGCATAATTTTGGTACCATTAGAATCGTTTTGGCAAGCTGATTCGAATAGTACCAAAATTACATAGATCTGATTATTAGATCACAAGAATTTTGAATAATAAAATTGCTCTGAGGGGGTGCTTAATTTCAGAAGTATACGGTAATCATTATCAATCAACAAAAATATACATATATATATAAAGAGTATTCGTCAAATCGCTCTATACTGTAAACTTTTTAAAAACGACTGAGCTGCAAGAACATCCATCTTATCTTGTAATGAATACAAGAATATTATTAGTTTTTCAAGATTCATCGAAACTGCTAAAGATCGTTATTGGAACAAAGATGTTAATTAAATCTGCCTCTTACTTGCTTATGGAGAAAGATTAATTCATTTAGGCCATAAAAATTTCAATTGCCTTGTATAATTTTAAGAACACCTGGCTTATTTCTATTTAAAACAAAAATTATAAGTCAATTTTAAATAAACATAATGGTACTTATTAAATTAAACTAAAATTCTCCAACAATTAGCTAATTTAGAATTCAGTCTCAATTTATGCAATTTATACAAATTTTGGAATCAAAACACAAAATATTTTTATTTATATTACTTTTACTGTAATACCCATCGCACAGAAATCTACAAAATTTTTTCAAATTCACATTTTTTTTATAAATTGTCACTAAACATAGTATTTCAAAGGTTTTCTATGAAAACTAATTTCTAGTATAATATTTATTATATTAAATGTTTTGTTTTGTTAACCAAACAATAAAAATTTCTAACTTTTTTTTTTAACAATATTATCAAATTTTAAACGAAGCTATTTTAAATTAGTCAAGTTGTTATTAAGATATGAAAAGCTTAAAAAAAACATAAACAATATTAGAATAAAAATTAATTATTCCTGATTCCCAGATTTCTGTGTACAAGTTACTCTTGTTATAGTGAAGCACTTGGACTATAAGAGATTCACTATATCAAGAGCCTCTCAATATAGTAAAGATGATAATAATATATATAAATCTTCACTATATTGAGATAATAATAAATTTATACACTCAAAAATCTAATTAACAAGAGTCTCACAAAGTAGTAAACAACTACTCCATTAATTTTATTGGTTAATACATGTCACATAATTTAATCTTAATTATAATACAAATATATCTGTTTTAGAAAAAATACTCATATATCTTATATCAAGAGTTTATTAATAAACTTCATTATATCAAATAAAAAATGATTTTATTCTAAAAAAATTCTTCACTATAAACCAATCTTCACCATAATAAGAGCTCACTATAATAGGAGTGGCTTGTATAGTGTTAGTAACTCTTATTAATAAATTTTTACTATACATTTTACTATGTTTATAATTTTTTTTATCGAATGTATAATAAATTTTAAAATTTTATACTTAATATATAAGTTTTCAATAAATAATATATATTTCGTATAATACTATATACTATACTCCTTTGACCGACTATACTATATACATTTTTGTAATACCTCAACAGAACCCTATTCTTGATTTTAAGTGTATAATGTCAAATCAAGTCTGTTCATAATTATTTGAATATGTATATAATTTTATTTTTAATATTGTAGTATAAATTTAATTTTTAAAGTTTATACATTTTCATATATCGATAATTAGTAAACCTCATTATTTGTATCTGAATCAACTCGATTCTTTGTATTTGAATGAATCTGATAATTTGTATCGGTGCAAATCTGATTATTCGTGTCTATAAGTAGATCTGATACTTTGTGTTTTCAATAAACCAGCAGCAACTAATGCACTAACAAAAACAAGAGAGCCTATTGTACCACCCACTATTGGATCTGTATTAAACGGAGTTGAAGATGGAGAAGTATTTGAAGATCTATTTGGTTGAATTCCCAAAATGAAATTTGTCAATCTTAAATTTTTAGAATCTTTGGTGATATCTGCAATCGCAATTTCTGCTAAATTACTGCTTTTCACAAAGTCGAGTTTAGCATTTAACGATTGATAATCTTCATAAAAAGTGATATAGTAGTATTTTGAAAATGTGTCTTGTTGATAAAGATATGATTATTTCACATTGTTAACAAAACCATAGGTCTATGGTAGCAATGAAGTTAGGTTTGTAGGACAAGAAGATGATGATGATAATGAAACACTTAAATTTTCTCATACCCAATATGCATATGATGAATAGTTATATTGATTCAGAATCTGTTCGTCAGGAAAGGAAAACTTAAAATTTGGGTCATTTACTTGCTGAAGGAGTTGATTATCAATGTCTGACTTAATATTATTGGAAGAAACAATTTCGATGATGCCTCCAAATTTGACGTCTAAAACGAGTTTTGAACTATCTATATAATCATTCTAGGAATTCCAAATTTGAGTGATTTTATCTATTCCAGCACTTGCATACGTGTCATTTATATTAAGATTAAATGCCTAAAATTTTATAATAAGTATTCATAATATTACTTGCTATGTAAAAAGGGAGTTAACTTACCTGAATATTTACAAAACTAATGATACTGCTATTGAAGTTAATGCCATATACAGGATATTGGCCTGCCGTGATCATTAAATTCTTATTGCCTAATTGTATTGCTGTGGCATTTACAAAACTTAAAAAAGTATAATTAAAATCAAAGTAATAGCTAGAGTTAAATGGATTGCATGGAAGTTTAAAGGGATAATTAATGTCAATCTACATATAATAAAAAATAACAGTTAATGTTAACTATATAATAAATAGTGCTACAAGGAAATCAGAAATCCTAATTTTTGGATATTTTATTGGATTGCCATCTAATCTAATAATATCGATTAAGTATTGATTTCAATACGACAAAATAGTATAACTATATATTAGCTAGTAGGCCATACTTTGTTAAGAATTACTGGTTTTTGCTTGGCGACACCCAAATAATTATGTAACAAATAAAATAAAATCAGTTAATCCTACTCCGTCAAAGCCATTATTAACAACAGTAATTAAGTCACTAATAAATTTATTATTTTCTATACTAGTTAAATTATAAAACAGAAGGGCTGGGGGAGCCGAAGGCAAGATTCTGGTAGGAGAGAGAGAAGGGAGGATGAGGGCAGAGGTGGTGACAGGGGCCTCCGAACAGGAATCAATACAGATAGAGGCAGGAGAGACAGGAGGGATAGAAGGGTAGAATACTAAAGATTAAAGAATTTAAATAAATTATTCCAATTAGTTGGCAACAGAACTAATAGAATAATCTATAACATAGTAATTTGGTTACTACAAATAATAAGTCTTCTTAATGCATATTCAAGATTATTAGCTACCTTAAATGTTAAATTTTTCTCAGCCTTATAACTTAATAGTTTGTTAAACTTGCTGAACTGTTCGGTAAACATTTTATATAGGAGTCCACCAGAATTATTATATGTGCTATTATTATTATTAACAAGGTTATTTGGACCAAATGCTAAAAATATTAAATTAAATAATTTTATTAAATATAATAATTGTAATTAAATAGATTAAAAGCTTTAATTTTACATATCAATATAGTTTAAGTAATTAATTGATGGACTGATATCAAAATCTGTACCTGGTATTAAATTATTAAATTTATAAGCCAGATAATACCCAACAATTGTTTTTAGTTTAGTTGGTAATAGATGGCATAAATCTTGACCTAATACCTTTTTTATCAATACTAGTATGAAAAAGGCGCATAAAAAGAGCATTGTAAACTTATAGAATAGTAAAAGAAAATGAAATTTCATGTTTGCTATAATGGCATAAAAATTTCTATATGGTACTAAGCAACAAAATACGAATACATAAGATAAAATATACAGAAAATTTTTCAATATTAAGAATAAGTCTAATTTTTTTTTTAATAAAAAAAACTCATTTAGGTTTAAAAAAAAATTACTTATGAGCATAAGATTATTTCTATCTAAACATTCAATTCTTGCATTGCCGTTATCGTACGTACAGTATCAAATGGAAGAAAACACAAGGTTAAATGGATGTACAAGGATGGATGAAGGGATATTTAATAGTAACATAGTGATGTCAAAAATCAACAAGTGATATTTATCTAATATTAGAAGGTTAAAGTAGGTATATGTATATATGTACTGTAATATTGTAACCCAAACATTTTATTACAATAATATGTAGGGCAGGTTTGACTAGAAATACATCTTGTGTCAGATGACTTTTCATCATTTGTGATATAATGAAATACTGTAAATTAAATTATTTAATTCAATTGCAAGCTTTTTTTTAAATTGTTAATATAGTCTAACTCACCAGCCTGGGAAACAAGAATCTGGCGATTATAAAAAGGCATGGCTATATAAAAGTCAAATTTTGTATGTTTTATATTAGCTTAAGTTGTGACTATATCAAGAATGACTATAATAAGGTTAGACTGTATATGCAATTGAATTTATGCCAGTTAATGGTAAATATAGATTGCATTCTTTCACTTCAGATTCACCTGTTTCACTGACAGTTATTTCTTCGATTTTATCCTAACAGACCCAGGACATGTCCTTTTAAGATAGGTCAAAATGCTGTCTATAAATAAAATTTTCAAAAAAACATATAAATTTACTATATAACTTTGAGCTAAGATCTTTTTAAATCTAACTTATTAACTTTAAATTAAATTTTTGGAGAATATAGAACAAAGGGGAGAAGAAAAAATTAAGCTTAAAAATTAAATTAAAATTTTGATATTTTTATACAAAACAAAAAGCTAACTTTTTCAAAATCAAGTCTTTTCCAATTTTAAAATGATAAATATATGTAAAACTATGCTCTGAGCAACTTTACTTAGAATATGAAAGTAGGTTACCTTGATAGAAAAATGAGTTAGCTATGTACTAAAGTAAAAAATTCTAGTTTTTCTATATACAACTTTTTTTTTACTTATGTAACCCACTTTTATCTTCTAAGTAAAGTTGTTCAGCATAAAATTTTACATTTATATAGTTTGCCGATTTTTGAGCATGGGAGACATTCGATTCCGATGATTTCTGGGATCGATGTTATACAAGTATTGGCTAAGGTTAACAATTAGGTGGCCGGATTTTGTATTGCCGGTAATTTCTAAATTAAGGTTAGATTTTCATATT